ATATATATATATATATATATATATATATATATATATATATATATATATATATATATAGAAAGAGTTATATGGAAAATGAATGATTAGGGCAACACATATTTGAACCAATAAAAACATGACAACACATCACTTCCACAATAACTTCCGCAATATATTACTTGTGAAGAAAGAAATGAACACATGCCATTTGATTATTGGTTCCGGTAGATGTTGCCCTAATATATATATATATATATATATATATATATATATATATATATATATATATATATATAATATATATATATATATATATATATATTATATATATATATATATATATATATATAACATCCAATCAATAGGGGAGGGGATAAAAAAAGGGAAGGGGGTGATTGAAAAACCTAAACCCTAGATATTTTATATAGACAAAGAAAATATCATAAAATTAATGTAAAACAATATTAAAAAAAAAATTAAAAATAATATATTTAAAAAATCCTTATATTTTTGGATTTATTTTCAAAAAAAAAATTGTATAAAGTTTACCAGTAAAAGTGTCAAAATAAATACAATTGACGATTTTTAGGATGTAATTGACTAAATCGTTTATAATGAATAAACGTAAGGTGTAATAATCCAAAGGTTAAGGTTTAGACATAAGATTTAAATCTACCTCTTCTAATAAACAAAACTTAATTATCAGTGTTGATTTTTCTACACCAATTTTGCCGCATGGCATGTTCATATTCCCCTGCATTTTCATTTCCCGCTTTTTTATACTTTTTTATACGCTTTGATTTTAGTTGGCATATCCCAAAAAATCAGCCGCTCTATTTGAATTTCATTTTAATTAGGCAAAAATCATTATTCTAATCTTATTTATATTTAAAATTAATTATAAGATTACGGTTCATATATACCTCCACCTATGATTTTTAATCTACCCATCATTTTCATTCACTATACCCATCTTCATCATATCCAAATCTATAAAAACGCATCAAGTTCAGGTTAGAAATAAAAATTCTTATTCTTAATGCTTACGCATCTGTTGAGAAAACATAGAGTAGAGACGGAGGTGACACATATGTGTCCACCCACCTTCTTTAATCCCATGAGACATTTTGGTATCCATAAAAAAAGTTTTATTCTGATTTTGCAGGCTGCTAATCAACATGAAAGCTTCGTGTACAATTCATTGTGTATATTTTATTGATTATCAAGTTATTGCCATCGTTTTATTTGTCGGTTTTATGTAGTTTTCTAATTAATTGTTTACTTTTGGTTGATTATGTGCAAATTTTATTCTCTACATTCATTTGTATTATTATAAATCTACAACTACTCTGATTTCTCATATGTTTGATTTTATTCTATGTTCTTTGAAACGTTTGCCTAATCATTGCAATGAATGAATGAAAGTTTCTTATTTCAATTGGAAATTGTTTGCCGTTTACCTTTTTTGGCTTTTAACGGTTGTAGTTTTTGTTGTTACTATATATATATATATATATATATATATATATATATATATATATATATATATATATATATATATATATATATATATATATATATATATATATATATATATATATATATATATATATATATTTTGTTAACAATAATAAAGTATGTTGTTACCCATGCATGCATGCTAGACCGGTTATGTGTAGTATGTGTTTGACTATATGTATATAACATCTAATGTTACATGCAAACATTATAAATTTATAATTTAGTTTTTTTTTAATTTTTGTATTATTTAAGTTTGTCTACCGTGTATTACCTGAGTTATAACCTAGTTTAATATTAAAAGTAGGATGTAAATTGATTGTTTTTAAAAATAATAAGTATATTCAATGTTATTTTATGTGAAACATTTATCGGTTTTTACATTATTCTTTAGGTTAATTTTTCTTCAAAAGAAATTGAGATTCTTTTATATTTTTTTCTACATATCATCCTACCCATTTAATGTGTTACATGTATCAAATAAATATATTAAAATATTATTATTTTCATTAAAATAACACATATCATATTTAAGATGAGTATGAGAATATCATGTGGGTTAAGTTAGACTTTGTTCAAGGATAATAGACAAAACTTCAAAAATAGTCTCTGTGGTTTTCGAAAATATCAAGTTTAATCCTTAAGTTCAAAAAATCTCACAGATGGTCCCTGTGGTTTCAAAACTTTTAACATTTGGTCCTTCTGGTTCACTCTGTTACCCCCCCCCCCCCCCTTTCTCCCCTCCCCTCTCTCTCTCTCTCTCTCTCTCTCTCTCTCATCGCCGATATGTAGAATCCATTTAGCTGCCAAGAATTGATTCAATATTTTCCTTCGTTTGAGCTTTCTTCTTTCATGAACCGATTTCCTGTGAGAATCGACTGATTCCTAAAAATCAATGGTTGCTATGTAGAAAAGAAAACCCTGTGAGAAGCAAAGAAAAACACACGTATACACACTAAATCATCTTCATCCTCGGGGACAGTTACCGATAAACCCAGAAGTAAATATTGCTACAAGTCGAAGATATACTTCGCTGATGGGTTTCCCTTTATCTTCTCCTTTTTCTGAATCCATAGAATCGAGCAGCTCTAACATACCTGCAGAAAATAAGATCAAAATTGAATAGATAAAATAAAAAACCCTCATCTTCACTCTCTTCCATTCATAGAAACGATATCAGGTCAAGCAGTAAAAGTTGATATGGGAGAAGAACATGGGGAAGTTAAAATATAACCCTTAACTCTCTTTGCTCTGATGGATGCGCTGCCACCATCGATAATTGCTCCTCTTCCAGTATCGACGGTGGTACTGCAATAGCAAAACCATCACCACCAATCAACAGCTCAGAATTTGGCGGATGACCGTTGGTTCACATGGGAAACAATGGAACTCATTATTGCTATTGTTGTTCTTCTGTGGAAGAAGTTCATGAAAGCTAGTAGTCATGGTGCACTGTTTTGGTGTTGGGTTCGGCTAGGGTTGTGCGGCCGGATCAATAAATCTGTGACCGGATCTACTGTGAATGCAGAAGTATGAGATAGATAGAGAGAAAGGGGAGATGGGGTGGAAGGAGGGACGATGGTGAGGAGCTAATGGGTAATGGGTGATCTGGGTTTGGATTTTTGAAGATGATGACGGTGTAAATGGTAATGGAGAGAGGTGGGTAATATGTGGGACTTTGCATATTAAATTTTATTTATTTATTTATTTATTTTAGAAAAAGTAATACAAAACCTCATAAACGGTCCCTAGGTAGTGAAATGACAAAAATACCTCTTACTTAATGGCTAAATAACGGAGTGAGCCGGAAGGACCAAATGTTAAAAGTTTTGAAACCACAGGGACCATCTGTGAGTTTTTTTGAACTTAGGAATTAAACTTGATATTTTTGAAAACCACAGGGACCATTTTTTAAGTTTTGTCGAGATAATATATCTTTATTCAAGAGCGATTTTACATGGAAGCAAAGGGTGTTTTATGGACACCACTTGAATTGGAAAATATTTTAGAGATTTATATAATATATTTAGATGGACACCTTTAAAAAAGTTTATATGGATACCCTTATCATTAATAGATAATCATGATATTTGAATTAAGCCGGATCAATATACAATTATTGTATAGACTATGGTAATATTTGAATTAAATCAAATCAATGTATAGTTGTATGATTAGGTGATTAACAAGTACTACAAAAAAAAAAAAAGTGTGTTATAGATAACAATAATATATGTTGAGTTCGTTAAGTTAACAAATTATAATAACGTTTAATATGGAAGACGATAAAAACAACAAAAGAAAAGTAAAAAAGCAAGAAACCTTAAAAATAACTGACCTGAATGGTAACCAAACCTTTGCGACATTATAATTTTGTTACCTCACTCAATTAAGTTGTTCATCCGTGAGTTTTTTTTATTGAAATGGTGGGAGTGGGACCATTCAATAATGTACCGCTTGAACTGCTTTTGAGCCCCTATATTCGTGGAATGACATCAGCTTTTGGCTTTAGCAAGCGTGAACTCTACATCATCAAGCTCACAATATAGCTAATAGAGAGCTCAACCTGTCTCGAGTTGATTTTGATCTTTGATCACACTAAATTGTTTGATGACCCAAAATCATCAACGGAGAAAGGAGGAGAGACATTAGTGGTGGCAACGTCATTGCAAAAGACGTGGATAGATTTTTTTGCATCAACAAAGGAGATCATGGTGCATGCACCAGCCAAGAATGGTGAAAGGGGGATGACAAACATGTTATGAACCCATAAAAACATGTAGTACGATAGAAGACCAAATTTTTTAAATATTTGGATCAACATTTTACTTTAAGACATTTCATAAACAACTTTTTATAGGTCTACATTAAGAGTTAAGTTCATCAAGTGTGAAAAGTAAAAAAGAAACAAGATGTTACTCTTCTATAAAAACAAGTTTGTAAACATAGAAACCCAATAGAAGTTTTTTCTTTCCTTTTAAATTTGATGTAAAATAAATGAATGAAACAACTTTTGTGTAAAAATAGAACAAATAGATGAATGAAACAACTTTTGTGTTAAAATCATAGTATTTTTTGTGCCTCTTAAAATTATTAAAAGGATTGATTGATATCAGAAAATGGCAACCAATAGCTCTTAGTTTACTCTTTTAAATCACTTATTTTTAATTGTACTTTATAGACCGATAAACTTATTTTTGTCTGTCTCCTTACAAAATTAGGATGGATTTGAACTTGGTAAAATGGTATTCAGCACGCACCTTATATGACATCCATCATAAATCCAAAATGAATGAGTTTGTCCATTTGTGTTTATGTAGACGACCTATCCAAACTCAATAATAGCAACCCGCTATTGAGAGATCTAATCTATTGGTGTGATGAAACATAGGGAAAAAAAAGGCTGAATAAATAAATACACTTAAAAAAACGAGTGACTAGAGTTATTGATGGTCATTTTGTGATATTAACCCTTTTTAAAAACTTGTTTAGAAGAAGTTTGAAGGTTTTGAAGTTCAAGTCCTGTATTTATTTATCAATGATATTCAGGTGGTTGTAAAATCTATTTGATCCTCTTCCCAATCATTATAGAAAGAACAATAAAAGAGTTGCATGGTGTAACAAGAATGAGCAGTCGCTATCGATCCTAATCAAATGCCACTATATACAGCTCAACTGTGGCTATATGCATATAGTATATCTCTCAAGTTTTTATTCTGCTATAACATATGATTGATTATATGTAGTCAGCCGATCAAATGGCAGAATGAAATGAAGTTCACACAAGTTGTGCAGACTGCGAGTGCGACCAATACTCCTTCACAAGCTGTCCAAACAAGGAATCGTCTCTTCTCATAAGCTTCATGGGTTCATCATATTCCGCTATTTTTCCTGTTACAGGTTGAAACTAATTTTAGTTTTGGTGTGGGGTGGGGTGGGGTGGGGTCATATAATTAATACTGGAAAAACAAACGATAGCTGTGAAGATTTGTGAGTTAGAGTGAGACTGACCATCGGTCATGGTTAGGACCATGGTGCAGTCCATTACGGTTGGGATGCGGTGAGCCACAGTGATAACGGTGCAATCAGCAAACTCAGATCTGATGGTTTCTTGCAGCATGGTGTCTGTAGCATTATCAATGGATGCAGTTGCTTCATCAAGCACCAAAATCTTGCTTCTTCTCAACAATGCACGCCCCAAACAGAACAGCTGCCGTTGCCCCATGCTCCAATTTGTTCCATCTTCCACTACTGCATGTACTTATAAGAAGCATATAATTAAAATATGTCTTTTTACACCCTACCTAAAATACTCTCTACTGTAGTAATTTTCATGCATTACCTATCGAATCCAGCCCCCCTGCTTTATCCTGAACAGCCTCTCTAAGCTGACACTTTCCAAGAACCTACAATGCCAGAAATTGGAAGATAAATACAAAGGGAACCTTATACTATTTGTGCATTGAAGTCGAATTTACCTCCCATATTTGTTGATCGGTATGTTGACACAAGGGGTCCAAATTGTATCTAACTGTTCCATTGAAAAGTGTAGGATCTTGAGGTATGATCCCAAAACGTGACCTTAAATCATGAAGTCCAACCGTTGAAATGTCAATCCCATCAACAATAATTTTACCCCCAACAGGTTCCACCAAACGAAACAATGCACCAATCAGTGTAGTCTTTCCACTGCCTGTCCTTCCAACAATACCAATCTTGTGTCCCCCTTCAAATGTACAACTAACACCCCGAAGAACAAGAGGTGCATCGGGTCGATACCTAATCTGTTTTTTCAACATTTTTTTTTTTATCAAGACTAAAAACTGAAACTTTTGAGTACCAATTGGTAAATTAGCAAAAAGGGTTTACCTGTAAACCTTGAATTTCCACCTTACCCTCATCAGGCCAATTAGATGGAGGGCGATTCTCTTCGATCACTAAAGGAGCTTCACTTGGTAAATGCATGTACTGGTTGACCCTCTCGACCGAAATAATATAGTTGACCAATGTGCACTGATTTTGAATCGACATAACAAGTGACATGTTCAAAGAAAGCCCATAAGACATAGCCATTCCAATAAAACCTGCATTCAAAACCTCAAACACATGAATTTACTAAAAAACAACATTTCAGGAAAAAAAAAAAAAAAAAAGCTCACCGGAAGTGAAAGTTCCAGGAGGAAGCAACACCATGCAGAGTCCAGAAGCTGATAAAACGGTTGCACTGATGATTTCTAGCCGTTGGATCAACCAATTGTTTGCAGCAAAGCTGTGTATGTAAGGACTAGCATTTATGTCAACAACTTGAAGATTTTTTGCAAAGAATCGATCTTCTTGTTTGAAAGCTCTTATTGTCATGGCACCTGCCACAGATTCAGCAAGATGGTTTGCCACCAAAGATTTGGTTGTCCCGTTGATCCTCATCAGCATTTTTGCAGACGAGAAGTAGTATCTCTGTTTTATCAAATAAAAAGATCATATCAAACATTACGTACGTTTTTTTTTTTTTTTGACAATTAAAAATTACCTGTAAACGCATTGCCACATAAATTAGTGGTATCGAGACAAACAAGACTTGCCATGTCACGAAGATTAAAACTCCCAAATTAGTGTAGAAATTTGTGGTGGCGGCAACAGCAAATATTAAATTAAACGGAATGTCAAGATCAATGATACTCAAATCCACCGAGATCCTGCTTAGTACCCTACCCAGAGGGGTAGAATCGTAAAACGACATAGGGGCACGGAAAAGGGATACGAGTAATTGAGAAAATATCGATTTTGACGATTGTAACCCCAAGGCAACTGTGAAGAGCGATCTCACGAGAAGAAACATGATTGCTACAACACCAATAGCCAGGTACACGAGGATCAATTTCAGAGTGCTGACATCAGCATTGTCGACATTTGCAGCCATCCATGAATTCTGACACACATTACATGCCATGAAGGTGACATGGGCAAATGCGGCTATAGAAAAGAAAATGTAGCCTTTGTTTTGGGATAGATACTGTATGTAGGGTGTGAAACCAGTGTCCCCTTCTTCCCTTTCTTCTTTCTTGATCAACTGATTGTCTCCAGATGCCACGGGTAATTTGTTTGTATGGGTGTTTTTAATGTCTTTGATGGAAGGTATCTGCTTTCTTGAAGAGGTGACTTCTAGAAGCCTTTCGGAACCTGCTGTTTCTTTGTGTGCATTCACCAAATCTTGAAATTCTTGGCTTGAGGCCATTAGTTGATGGTAAGGAGCAGCTGCTAGGATTTCCCCATCTGACATCAACTGTCCAACACATTAAACATATCAGATCCACAAATCCCTTAAGCTTAGTAGATATTTAATAAAGCAACAAGTAACAAAAAAAAATAATAAGGGCAAATTTATGAAGTAACTCACCAGGACAGAATCAAATGTAGGAAGAAAATCAACTTGGTGAGTCACAAGCAAAACCGTCTTGCTAGAAAGAGCTTCCATAACAAATCCCTGCAAAACTTCAAGCATTATTTACCATTTCGACATCACAAACTAAAAGTATATATTATTTTTCTAAATTAGTTTACATTAAATAAGCTGGAAGCAGTGTGTGCATCCACAGCACTGAACGGATCATCCAAGAGATAGATATCAGCATCCTGGTATAAAGCACGTGCAAGTTGAATCCTCTGTTTCTGTCCACCACTGAGATTAACTCCTCTCTCTCCAATCTCAGTAAGATCACCATATTCTAATAACTCAAGATCCTTCACCAAACAACATTTTTCAAGTGTGTCTTGGTATCTTTGATCCTCCATTGATGACCCAAACAAAATATTATCCCGTATACTACCCGTTTGAATCCAAGCCGATTGAGAAACATACGCAATGCTCCCATATACTTGAAGCTGAAAAAATAAAAAAGATTTAACAGGTAAAAATGAAAGTAGGAAGCTAAAATATGTAAATTACTTACAGCTCCCTCGATGATTGGAACCTCTCCAAGAATTCCCGCCAAAAGTGTAGACTTACCGGACCCCACCTCTCCACAAACAGCAATCTTTTCACCCAATCGAGCCTGTAAGTTGATCTTTCTTAAAGTAGGCTTCACGATATTCCCTTCCCACGAGAGACTTGCAGACTGGATCAAAATGTTACAATCCAAACCCTCATTTTTCACCTTCCGCCTTACATGACCACTCTCAAGCTCTGGTGCCTCGAGAAAATTCAAGATTCTTGAAAACGCGACTTTTGCTTGAATAATAAACCCAATAACATCCGGAATCGTTCTAACAGGATCTTGAACTAACCTTAAAGTTGCCACAAATGTGAAAACGTTGCTAGCATTTAAAGGAATCCCAATGAAATAACAAGCTCCAAAAGTAGCAGTGGAGACCAAAAGAGGAGACGACCAGAATAAAAAACTGTTATAAGCTCTGCGAAGTTGAACAGCCGATAACCATTTATCTTCAACAGCCCTTAACTTTTCAATCACACCCTTGAAATGAATCTCCCAGGCGTAAAGTTTCAAAACTTTCATATTCACAAGAGCCTCAGATATGGCTTTCAGCCTCTCATCTTGTGCCACCATTAACTTCGATTGAAACTTATGTTGTAATTTAGCAAGTGGCGCGTTGCAAATAACTGTAAATATTATAACTCCCAATGATGCAAATGTGGCCAAACCGACTGCTTGGAAAAGAATAGCAAGCGCAAATATAAGCTGGAGACTTGTTGTCCATGTTTGGTGTAACCAATTTGGGAATTCCCCGATTCGATAGGCGTCGACAGTGGCATAGTTCATGATCTCTCCAGCAGAATGTGTGATTTTGGCAGAATTAGATAGATTTAATTGTTTTTTATAAATTGCTGCTGTGAGTAGCGATCTAACACGTATACCAATAAGTCTACACCTAAAGTCCCATTGTCGCTGTGATAACGATTCTAATGTTTTGGAAAAGAAAAGCGCGATGGCTAACACGTAACCTTCGCCAGTAAAACTCTCGTTACCTTCCGCGACGCGTATGAACGCTTTGAGAAAAAGCGGGCCCGCGGAAACCGTGATTATTTTTAGCAATGCGAAAAATCCCGATACGAGAAGCTCTGTTAGATTGCACATCACGATTGTTCTCAAGATCGACGGCTGAGATTGCTTTTCGTTGTTAAACCGGTCTAAGAAGTTGGAATAACACGATTCGGCTCGATCTTCTGTGCGTAATTTTGGCATATCTTTATCTTCGAGGGTTTTCTGGCTTCCTGTTTTCATCAATGGGTTTAACCACCAAAACGACATTACATTGAAAAATCCAGCTTTGGCAAGTGGGGTTAGGTTTTCGTTGTGAATTACTTTGGTGCCATTAGTGTTGCCATGTAAAGGGGTGTAAAGACTGTTGTTGTTGTTGTCGTTAATTTCTTCATAGTTGAAGCCTTTGTAAGTGCATGCTAAAAGTAAGACTGCTCCTAGGAAAGAGGTTGTATCCATGGCCATCTTGATTGACATTGAGTGGTCGAGAACCGATAAGCCGCCAAAAAATCCGGCGAATAGAACAGAAACGATTGACAGAAGGCGAACGGGGATTTTTGAGAAATGTTTTCCGGTTAGGCTTATGGTTAGTGAGACTGTTGACCATGTTACTCCATGAAACAAGAATGTGAGCCATTGATGCAAAGGAAGAATGGTGGTTTTCAATGTCCAAATGCCCAAACATATGTACAGTGTTCCAAGTAAACCGTTAAAGATTGCTGAAGCCAACTGTAAAGTTGATTTTCGGTGAAAAAGTGATGATCTTCTGGTGGTTTTCAATGGCGATTTGGTAATAATGGATAGGAGTAACATGGAGAAGAGTAATATATCGAAGCAAATGATTAAAACATGATTCATACACGAAGATGGATTCGTGATAAAACCCAAATCTTGATCACAATGCTTGTCATTGCTGGAACACCCGCAAAATGAACTCCATAGATCAGCCATTTTGTCTTTTTTACTACCCTCTTTGCCCTCCTATTTCTGAAAATGCCACATGAATTAAAGATATGAGTAAATTAACAAGACTATATGTAAATAACTCATCGGGTCTTATTGTAGCATAATCATCACAATTCCAATGAAGTTTACGCCAAATTGTTAATTTGATCATGGATATTAATACCACATTTGGATGTAGATCCTCGAAAGATAAACGTCAAAGAATCGATTTTTTGACTAATGAGTTTGATACTAGTTACAACTTACAACAAACCTGATTATCAAAAGGTAAAGTAAAGTTACTTAGATACCTTAATTTCATCTACTACTTCCTTAAATAATAAGAATTTGTTAGACGTCCAACACAATATTATAACTTCTAACATTCAGTTACTGTATTCGCTGCAAGTTTTATTACTGTGGTTTTTTTCCGAGTCGTAGGCCTCGATCGCAGAACACTCTGATTCTGATTAACTTTATTTTAGGTAATAAAACAGGAAACAACATCATAGAATTAAACAGTAAAGAAACAATAAATAGTTATTTGATCATAGCCTACTGAACTTTACACCAAAAGATGAAATTAAAATGGTAATTGGAAGAAATACAGTGTCTTTCTGTTTCCTGTTGATTTCAATGAGAAAGACAGCAAGAATAACACACCTCGGTACTGGCAAAGGGGTAGTAACAACACCCCAAGGGTTTCTTTCTTTCCGTTTCCTTTTGATTTCTTCTTATTCTTTGTTTCTTGACTTTTTTATATTCCCTGCAGGCTGAAAACAAAAAACCCATCATAATGAATACTCGATTTTTACAGTATTACGATAAACTGGAATTTATCGGTGCCAATAGACACGTGCAGTCGCCAGAATCAAAAACGGCGTGACGATACATTAAAGAAAGCTATCATCAATGACAGTAATCAACATAACGTCGACTAGAAAACAAAAAATATAAATTAATAAAATAAAACGACAGACGTTGTGAGATCCAACAATTCTAATTATAAAATTGTAACTTGTAAATCAACAAGAGAACAAAAACACTAGACGCAATGAAAACAAGTTCGAGGCGTTTAACATGTATTTTCAGCTGATTTTACAAAGAAAAACACACATTGAATTGATTAGAGAGAGTAGTGATGAAGAATCACTCCATGCTTACAAATTAGACGTACGAATCAGAAAAACTGATGCTGATACTCGAATCGTGGAAAGAAAATGTGGTGTGGTCTAGGTTTTACAAGGATCGGTAAATAAAGAGAAGAAGAAAGGTTTAATTTTCCGCCATGAATTTTATGGGGTTCTTTGAAATTACAGAGAGAATATCTGGGCACAATTGCATATGGCAGATTACCAATAGATGCAGATGATATGTATGCATAAAGCATATATAGGCTATAGCGTGTTTGTGTTGTTACAAGGAATACCCCTATAGTATACCAAGAGTGTTATGGGTATCCCCGTGCACAATTTAGAATGACACAAATGACCCCTGTACTTGTTATGCAATTGAATTTTTAACTTTAAAGGTACAAAATAAACTTTTTTTTTAATTAATATACTAAATTAGGCAATAGATGGTGACTTATTGAGATAATATAAAATTATGCAATAGTTTTTAACTTTTTAATACACTAAAATATAAAATATTAATATTAAATGATATCGCATTTTTTAACTTTTTATTACACCAAAAAATTAAAATATTTGACTTATATTATATGTATATCACCATAACAATTTATATAGATATATCACAAAATAACCTATCATTTTAAGAGAAAATCAAAATGATCAAGTCATTGCGCACTCAATTATTTTGCACCCATCCCTTTAAAATTGTACAAATTTTGACAAACCAAAAACCAATTTCAAAAATTTTAATCACAATTTTTCTAGTATTTTTTATCAATTATTTTTCATATGAATACAACTTCAAAAACCGGGGGAAATTTATATATTGTTTGTATTTGATCGATTCGCATAATAAAGTTGTGATCTTTTTTCGTATTTATACTGATTTTATATGTATTATATAAAAATAATTTTTCAATTGATACTCATAAACAATGACTAACATGTTCAAAACTAGGGAATAACATAGTATGACCTATATTATTTCCTTTTTAAAGTATACAAGCAAAATAACATATTATTCTAATTCGAAACCCGTATACAACAAAAAATATATTCCAAATTCATAAAAGCATGTTTGAAACTCATGTGAATAACATGTACAAAACTTATGGGAAGAACATGTTTCAAACTCATAGGAAAGATATCTTTTCTTCACGAAAATTTAATGTTTGGTTTTTTGTGTTCATGAAAATTATTATGTTGTTTTTGTCCGAGTTACCATCAAACCAAATAAAGACCACCACATATGTATTTATGTCTCCTACATGAAACCTTTAACTTTCTTTGTTGCTAACACCTACCATAGTCGAGGTCAGTGGTGGGATATTTGGTGACATCCCTCGGCTAACCATGGAGCTAAAACAAGATTATAGCTATAAATGGAACATATCGTGAAAGGTTCTTGTTCTTCATTAAATGAATTATGAGGCCTTCTTGGTGTTCATATAGGAAGAAGTTATATCTAATTGAAGCCTATTTATTCAAAATATCTAATAATGTTTGTCTACCTCTTAGTTTGATAACTCAATGAAAGTGCGTTGATGATTAAACTTTCTCATGAGTTGTGATCTATTGTAGATATAGATATACATTATTAGTTTTCTTATAAATGTGATAGGTGATTATGACATATATCTCTTGCATGTAACTTAATTTTGTTATTAGATGGTTAAATTTAGTGATATATGTTAGTTATATGTAGTTGGTGTGTTATTTCATGATAAACTGTGTAATATGGGAACCATATTTATAGCAAAGTTCTTACTTTATATGAATTGATTGTAAAAATATTACAAATGACTCATGAAAAAACACCATATTTATCCAAAAAAAAAATCTAGTTTTACAAGCTACACATTATATACCAAAAGTATATGTATGGTTTGGAATAGTTATATGGTATTCTACGTCTTCCATAAAATTTGGGGATTTTAGAAGTTGGAATGTGTTATGCAATTTGAACATAGAAAGGAATACAAAACTTGGGGATTTTAGAAGTTGGAATGTGTTATGCAATTGGAACATAGAAACGAAACCGTTAAATAGGTCAAAAACCAAATTGAACTTCAAAATTTCAAACTTGTTTTAGTCGAAAAGTGGGTTCAATACCCACAATAAAGCTCAATTTTTAAATTTTTTTCAGAAAAAATAACTTTCAAACTTACTTCAGGTTTTCGATTTGATTATTCTCTTGATAAACAAAATTTTGATCTTCCACTAAGAAAGGTCTCATCACGAAAATGAAAATGAGTTCATAACTCATGATGGAGTTAGCATCGGTCATTTTCAACATGAAATTTTTTCTACTCTCTCTTAGATATAGTGGTCATCTTTTGTTATATATATATATATATATATATATATATATATATATATATATATATATATATATATATATATATATATATATATATATATATATATATATATATTTATAAAATAATAGATATTTTGGTGATTATCCTTATGTTTTAATTAACAAAGTTATGTTTTCCATATTTATCATGTTTTGATTATTTATGATGGTATTTATTTATATACTAGGTTACAACCCGTGGGAACCACGGGTAAAATATTTTTAAAATTTTCCCACGGGTAAAATATTTTTAAAATTTTATTAATTAATAAGATTAAAGTTTTTTTAAAACTTTTGTATTGATTGTTTAAAATTAATATATATTTATTTCAATATCCAATGTAGGTTATAGCAACATGCACTTATCTTTCAATTTTTTTTAAATGTATTTGCAAACCTAAAGTAATGAGAGTCAACAAAATAAAATAAAAAAGTCAAAACCATGGTTCACCCACGCTCCATATGTATTTATAGTTGATATTTTAAACCTTCAATTTTAGCGGATGGTGGATCTATCATCGATATGTATTTATGTGGATAATATGAAAACAGAATAATACTTACCGATGACAATCTTATATTTACTAAAAGCCACATTTATAGAATTAGTAGCTAAATTCAAACAAGGTCTATGTTTTTGATGTCATAACAGTAAACAAAAAGAAAAAGAAGGGAAAGAAAATTGTACTCTCTTCCATGTTTTTTTAATAACTAAAACATTAGATAATGTAATTTCAGGCATAACAAATAATGATATAATAACTTTTTTAACCGGTAAAATAATAATCTCAAGCAACTTTTATTAAAATATTAAAAATTTAACAACTTAAAGCCAAAACATCTAATTTATTCATCGAGACATGAAAGACTACATAGATAAATATTGTGTATCCTAATATGCTGTTTCATAACCCAATCATTACCCAAAGATCCTCAATAGTACATTCAATGCTAAGTGTTTCATTTTTTTGGAAAAAAATGCATAAATAGGAACATACTCAGGCTAGAAAATACATAAGAACGTGAGATATCTAACTTGAATGTTTTCTCATACTACTATGTTAAAGTCATACACACACATATGGTCAAATCAGATACACACCAATTCATTATTTTTCTTCTAAATGACCAATATACCCCTCCGTCCTCTCCTGCGACATCCACACTCCCTGCCACAACAACATACAGATGTATAGTCAAATGCACATACACACCCACATTTACATAAACCACCATGTCTTAATATTCCTTCAATAACCAGATTCTTTTCTTATGTTGTTTAAGCTAATTGAAATGAAACAACATACTTTAACCATTTAATTAAAATTTTCTCCATTTATAGCATATTAACCATTAACTTGTAACAGTTATTTGACAAAACTCTGAATAAAAAGTGGATAAATTCATTTTAACTTAGTAACTATTACCCTATAATATACTCTTTTTTGCCTTAAAAGGGTGTGTCATACTCATATTCATAAGATTCATATAAATAACATCAAATGGAAAATACAAAAACACTTGTATTTTCAACATTTTATAAATTAAGCCATGGATGATAAAATTTACATTACATAATTCAACAATTAAGCAACAACATGAATGATTTTGTGCCCTAGCTTTGCCTCGGACAATATTGATATATATGAAGAGGGAGAAAACCCTTTCAACCTGAGTTGATGAACAAATACCTCTGTTGGTAAAATTATATACCGGTATATTGGAGAAATTACCGGTTTATATGATGCCCTAAAATTCCAGCTAAGGCATGGACAATCTTCAATTAAACGCAAACAAAAACTTTTGCTTTAAATTGTCACATTTGATACACATAAGTGAGAAATACAAAGAAACATTAACTTAAATCACACTTTACTTGAATTCCAAGTGAATATAATGTATTAATTTCTTCATTTTAAGGGAAAAAAAAATGAATTTGATATTCATATAGCTTCTATGTTTTGAGGGAAAAAAAGGAACAATTGTACATAAGAACACAATATAAAGTTTATAAAAAAACCATTTCAACTGGAATACCTGAAGGGGAACGGTCGTCAAATATTCAAATAGGTTTAATTACGTCTTTTTTTAACTCTTGTAAAGCCTTTCATCGATGGATATTTCTAAAGAGAAAACCCAAATTATCAATATTAGATTAGTTTTTTTTTGGTTTGAGGAGAACGTTGGAGAAATAAGAGCACCGAGGGATCTACGGTTATTTTAAAACCAAATATAAAAAGACAAAGCTAAACAAAATCAAAGAAAAAAAACATAGAAATTAGACCTTACAGCTATTGCATTCTTCATATATATATATATATATATATATATATATATATATATATATATATATATATATATATATATATATATATATATATATATATATATATATATAT